TTTTTTTTTTTTAATATATATATATCAAAGTTGAATAATAAATTTCTGTACTTCGACAATATATTTTCAAAAAATAGCTAGACACGAATTCTCTTTTACCTAATTATCTTGTAGCCTGTATAATCCATAAATTGCATCTGGCATGAACCATCTTTCGAAATCCCTTAAGAAACTATAGTTATTGTTAAATTCTGAATCTCTGAATATTTTTGCTTACTCATCAAAACTCAGGATTTTAAAGTTTTTTCCTTAAAAAAATAACTAAATGTGCCCCATACGTTTGAATAAGGGAAAATGACTAAAAAAAAGGCTGAAAATTTGTAAATGTCAAATAAAAAATATCAACAAAAATTTGTTGTCATTTACAAATTTAGTGTTATCATTACCAAATAAAATGTTATTACCAAACCTGATTTTAAGATATAGTAATTTTCAGCTTTTTTTGTCATTTTCCCTTTAAATAATGAGTTATTATATTATACTACCTATCTGTTGCTCATGATTTGAAACTTTTAAATATTTAACTGTAAATTTTGCGGATAGGATTGTTTGGAAAGTGCTGGAAACACTTTGAAAATGTATTTTCATATGAGTCAGGATAAAACTCCTCTCACATATTTATTTTAAATTTCATAAAATCATTTTTAAAATTATGATTTAGTTTTTATCTAAATATCTCTTTAGATGTGATTTCCAAAATCAGCTGGAGTTGGCTCGTGGCTTGCATGAGCTTAGCCAGGAGCCCAGGACCATTTGACGCTCCAAGGCAAAAGAAGAAAAAAAATCGCACGCATCGATCGCTGGTTTTTACGTACCCCTCTTCCAAAATTGCCCCTGTTCATCCCTCAATATCTCCTTCCCGTGTGACTCGCATCGATCGCTTCTTCCCCGCTCTCTCTCTGTCAACAATGGAGAAAGGCGAAAGCTTCACCTCTAAAGCGGACTCCGAAGTCAATAACCCGACCCAACACCACCTTACTGCTCCATCCGGCTTGACCAACGACGAGTTCGAAGGGCTGAAGCGGTCGGTGACGGAGCACCACACCTATATGGTGGGTTCTGACCAATGCTCATCCTTACTGGCGCAGCGAATCCACGCGCAGCCCGATACGGTGTGGTCAGTGGTGCGGCGTTTCGACAAGCCTCAGGTTTATAAGCACTTCATCAAGAGCTGCGCGCTCAAAGAAGGATTTAGAATGACCGTTGGTTGCACTAGAGACGTGAATGTGATATCAGGTTTACCGGCAGAAACCAGCACGGAGAGGCTTGATATACTGGACGATGACCGATACGTCACGGGTTTCAGAATTATCGGAGGGGAGCACCGGCTGAGGAATTACAGGTCGGTGACGACGGTGCACGGATTCGAGGGTGAGGGGAAGATCTGGACCGTTATTCTGGAATCTTACATAGTAGATGTACCAGAAGGTAACACGAGGGAGGACACGCGTCTGTTTGCCGATACCGTCGTGAAGCTCAATTTGCAGAAGCTGGCGTCCGTCACGGAAGGGATGAACTGTCGCGGTGACGGCGGTAAGTAGAGTCAAAGCCCACAAATCAAATAAAATACGAGCAACAGGATTCCCGAGACTACTATATTATTTAGATTTTTGTTTGTATTGTTTCTGTTTTTGGCGGAGTCGCGTTTTAACCGCGAACTGTGCATAAGATCATCCTCTTGTTTTACGAGTAATCTCACTGGGGTATATTTGGATGGAACAATTAAAGGTGAGGTTGAGGGTAATTCAGTCAATGCATGTGTACAAGAAATTTTGACTTGTGGATGGAAGACGCCCCGCCGGCAAAAAAGTTAATGCAAACACGATTTTTAAACTAATTTCTTAAATCTGTATGTGTCATTTTTTATCTGCTGAAAGACGTAGTTTCGTGAAGAAAATGATACGGATATAAGATGAAAACGTTCCTTATATTTTAAGATGAAAAATAATCAATACTTTTTGTCTGCTAATTATAGAAATATAACCCATAGAAGTATTGTTCATCTTATAATATTTGTTTGAGATAAAAAATAAATTCACTATTACTCCCTCTATAGTGTAATCCTTTTTATAAGGTGCAGAGCAAACACAGAGTTAAATGTGGTCTTGTGCAACACTACCTCATGTACTTAATATAAGAAATAGTTAGCTAATTTGAATAGATTAAAGAAATTTATTAAGTTAGTTATTTGAAAGAAATAATTAGGTGTTATCTTCTTTAAAATTATCCTTGTTAATCATATATATTAGCTAGAATTACCATTTATATAACTACTATAAGGACTATCTTAGAAAAAATAGATAAATATTAGAGACAAAGTGGACTGTGATCTTATATTTAGAACTAAATTGAATATCAAACTAGCTCTTATATTAACTACAGAGGAAGTATCTTCGTAGAAATCTCCGAGTTTTCAGTTATCTTCTCTCTCTAACATATGACTTAGTTTTAGAAGCCAATCAGACTCGCTTCTCAAAATAATCAGATATCTGACTACGTTTAGATTCCGATTATTTTTAAAATCTTAAGCAAACACCTTGAAATTTGTTACAACTGATTATTTTAAAGAAAAAGGTATTTTTTGCTTAAACAAACGGGTAATTAGCTTTGTCAATTAGTGAGATTGAAAAGAACCACATCGTCCACCGATGAAGCGTAATGCAGAGTAGCAATCAGGAGATCTGGAATCAATGCTTCATGCCTCTTCCTTTCATTTTGGACCCTTTTTTCTCACTTTAATTCCCTCTCTCTATATATCCTTACGCACCCCCCCCCCAAAAAAAAAGATTAAACTGTTAAAGAAAACAAAAAAGTCGAATACTTCTGTCAATGAAACATGATGAATCATTTTTCAGATCAGACCTTTTTAACTGAAACATAATGTAATGTCGCATTTGAAAAAAAGAACACAGTGAAAGAATATTGAATGGGGATGAAATCCTGGGGATTATAGGCATGTCAGCTTCGCATGTGGGAGATATCATACAGAGCAAGAATCTTGCTATGCATTAATTGAAGAGCATAGAGAATGTGCTCCGGTCGGAAGTTTGTCAGATCAGATTTACATAAAAGTTTGAATATAGATCTTAGTACCACTATATGTGTGGATTATATTTGAGGTAGAAATTAAACGTAGCTAAGGGCATATAAGAGTCAAGCAAAGCATAGATGTTGTAACTGTAAGGCATAAAGCTATAACACACACACAAAAAGAATGAGGAGGGTTGAGAGGTGTATGTAATAGCAGGTTGAGTTGAATGATCTAAATGGGGCTGAGTTGGAAGGATAAGATAAGGGATGTGTGGCTTTAGGAAGGCATTGGAGAGGGATGAAGCAATTCATTAGTGAGCAAATTGCTTATAGGTATGGTGGGAGAGTGTTGCTGTTGTGGGGCAGGGCCTCAGGTATAAAAGGTAAAAATGTATTTTCAGTTCTCTAATCAGTTAATATTTAAAATTCTGATATCAATTTTTTTGTAGGTATTATTAGGATTGAAGGAGTGACAAGATATTTAATAAAATTAAAAAATTAAAGTGAAACTTTATATAAAACTGAAAATAAATAAATGTGCACTTTTGTCCGTATAAAATGATGCGAACAAGTGTTGGGCATCTCTTGATTAGCAATGGAAGTTCGTATGCTGTATATCAACATCACCACGTCTGCTTGTCTCCTTCCATGTTGGCTGCTTCTTCTTTTTTTGGGGTTTTCAACAAATCATGTGATATTCAAAACTGTATTTTTCTTTCTTTTTTTTTGGCATAACAAAAATATATTCAACTCTCAGGACACAAAAAGTATGATGACTCTACGTCATCCTCACCTTCCTTTGACTTATCATCGGCAGTCTGCTCAAGGTTCCAAACTCAACATTGGCAACTAAACACGAGGGTTGTGCTCGTTGCGGGACTTAACCCAACAACTTACGGCACGAGCTCACGACAGCCATGCACCACCTGCGTCTGTGTTCCCGAAGGCACCCCTCTCTTTCAACAGGATTCGCGGCATGTCAAGTCCTAGTAAGATTCCTCGCTTTGCATCGAATTGTAACTTGGATTGATTTGAACATTGATCGGAATTATATCCTAAATGAAAGGGTAACTCTTCCAAAAATAATTTACACAAACTCAAACCCAATACCTTCTATAAGGGTTGATAGCTCTTTCGATAAGGATAAAAGCTCTGCTGAGTATTCATGATGCATGTGTTTGCTGACCCACATGCCTGCTGATTGCTTTGAATGGCGATCACTCTTTGTTGCACGCTGCCTGATGTGCCTGATTGATTGGAAATCAATAGCTTGGCGCTTTAAGGGGAAGAGGGATGGTGAAGGGCATGACACGTAGGCGGGGTGATGAAGAGAGCACACGTAATGTAACATTAATATGTTGGTCGTAGCAAGACATCATTAAACTTTTGACATTTTGAAGGAGGAGTACACTTTTCAAAAAGGAAACCAAACATACGAAGGAGAAACACCAAGGTGAGAGTGCGAATGACGAATTCAGAGTGATCATAAATTGAATCACTAAGTCAAAATATTTGCAATTCACGTTGTAGCTTGAATATATTCTCTTTGTAACAAAGTATTATTGACAATAACGGTGCCAAGCCTATACCTATATCAAAACGTCCTTTATAAGACAGAATTACTTACTTAGAGATCATGGTAACATTTCTTTATTGACATTACCATCAGTTTTAAAGACGTTACTATGACATTTGGTTATTTTTCATTTCAAATTTTTGACCACCGGCTCTTGTAAATGACTTTTGTTTTCAAGGGACTTCATTGCCACTAATGTTGAATTCAAGCCCTTGGCAATTTTTTCAAATCCTTATTGATGATGATTTATCGAATCTAAGTTCTAACACAGCATTGTTCCAGTGCCTTATGACTTATGAGACGCATCCAAAGGAATTAATCATTTTTATTAAACAAGCGCATATGCAAAATCGAATTGAAGCAGAAAAACAAATCAATCGAGCCAGCCAGCCTCTCAATCAAATAAGGAAATCCTTGCGACAAAAACTTGTACAGCTGCGAAAGCAAATATCGTTTTGAACAGATGACATGGTAATGACTAATGCGCACAATATCATCTAAAGACGCCTTCCATAGAAAAGACAAAATATGAAACCCCATTATATCATAAAAGAACTTTATCTACTCTACATGAAAAATATTGTCCGTAATCCTACTTCCTTTCATTTTACAGTTCAGATCTCCCATGTCGCCCTTGTCCAATTGTCCAATCGAGTTGTCTGTTCTTCAATATATAAGCTAATGTAAAACTTGTCAAAGTACAAGGGTTGCATCCATTCTAGTTATCAAAAAAAGAGAAATGAAAAGGGAACACGAGAAAAAGCCAGAAAGACCTTATAAAACTTATTGTACATTACATGCAATGAACAAAAGCTCTTGCGAGAATCAAGATTAGTCCAGTTGGAAAAGAGCACTTCCCAACGAAGCATCAATATGAAAAGACTAATGATCTCTCCACCGAGGACTTGAGACAGGGAAAAAACCTGAAGGAGACAATGGAAATGAAAGGCCTGGAGAAGGTGGATGTTGGGGCCCTGGGCCTAAAATCCCTGACTGTGCCATTGGTGAGAATGGAAAGTTGGGTGTAAGAGGAGATGGAAACGGCATTCCAGGTGATAAAAGCGGATAAGGTGACCGTGGGGATAGCATATTGAAGAAACCATGAGGAGATGGCAAGAGGAACTGGGAGGTTGGAGAAAGCAAAGGTGGAGGACCATTTGGTTGCGGGGAGGGAATGTTTGGCGGCATAGATGGATTAGCGGCATTCATGGGTGGAATAGGACCATTTAGCCTAGGAGAAGGGAGCAGAGGCACAGAAGGATTAGGAAGCAAAGCAGATGATGGTGGTCGGGGCTGAAAATTGCCTGGCCCTTGGAACTGAAGGTTTGGCTGTGGCTGAGGTTGAGCTTGGCCACCCTTTGGACTTGGATCCAACATTGAACTTTGAAGGTAGCGCATGTAAGCAGAGATGGGTGACTCAGTGGGGTGAGACCAAATCATGTCCCCTGGATTTAATGGATGCATAGGAGTTGGAGATGGTTGCCCTAATTGAGCAGGCCTATGCAAGCTATTATTATAAGGAACAGGGGGAGAGGCTGCAGGGACTGGCATTGGCGGAGGCATGGGGTGCCTGTTGATGGGTGTTAACGGGGGAGGCCTTATTTTCTGCAACCGATTGCTCTGTGGTTTTGGTGGATGGTGAGGAGGCCTCGGAGGAGGTTCCTGTGAGTGTGAAGGTGATCCAGTAAGCTGCTGGACAATGTCTCGGAAATCGTTCTTACTTATATTGTATACCTGAGGCTGAGGCTGTTGTCTAGAAGCATTATTACCAAAATTAGGCTGGTGTAGTGGGCTCTTCCTTATATTTTTTCCCATTTTGTTCACGCCCAAATTATCACTTTGCCTGTTTTTGGAATTATCCATTTGTACACAAAACCAAACCTGCACCAACAATAAACTACTACTTGTTTTCTTGTTCCACTACGTTAAACCAATGCATAAACTTCGGAAGATGCCCCAGAGTTATGAAATCCGAGCTCTAACCCTCAAAAATCGATATCTTTCGAAGCAACCAAAAGAACCGCAGAACTTCGAACTCTGATGCACACTCACTTCAACAAACTAAAGCCCTAAGCTAATCATTCCTGAATTCAATCTAAAGGATTTCTGATTTCGATTTCAATTCCGCTTTTGTCCTTTACCACAGCTACACGCAACATACAGATCCATCCCACCAACAGCCCCAAAATTAACCCAAGATCCGAGGCTAGAAGCAGAAAACATACCCGTATTCGAGCTTAACCCAATCCAAAAGAACTCGGAAGCCACAAGGAAACCCCTTCAAAGTTCTGCCGTATACCCAGCACGGCTCCAAGCGAAGCAAAACCCGGAATTCCCTGCAGTGAGAAAAGCTCAAAAAGGGGAGAAAGATAAAACGTGAAACGAATGAATCTGAGCGCCGAACCAATGAGTTAAGAAGAGAGAGGATTTTATGGGAAGCCCAATTGGATCTCGTATATGGCAGAACAGAGAGTAGGAGAAGAAAAGAAAACCCTAAAGTGGTAAAGACATCAAGTAGAGAATTGGTCAAAGTAGAAATGAATGGAAATGGAAAAGGATTTTAGGCTTTTAGGAGGTGGCTATGAGGGGTCCATGGGGTGGGACTTTGGAAAGAAACTAGAGGTAGTGCGTCCAATACAAACAGCTCGACGAACTGCGAAGCTTTGGTGTGGAAGCAAACGCTGATTCGAATTAAAATTGCGAGCCTGTCACGCCCAAAGTCAAGGAAAAATTACACTCAGGTTCCACAGAGCATAATTAATATCAAAAAAGTCTTCAAAATCGCGAAATGATTCTGAAGTCTCCAGGGACCTGTGTGTAATTAATTCTAATTGTGAAATTACCTACTTACCCCTGTTAATTTTATTGCAGCAATTCGTTTACAATCTCAACAGTCGCTGTTAACAACCCGAGAAGATGTGATTGACAACATTGGCAGTGTTCATGACAACTCACTCTGTGGAATGCCAGGAGCGTTGTTGAGGTTGTTAACCACCTCTTCTCGGGTTGTTAACAGTCACTGTTGAGGTTATAAATAGATTCAAATTAACAGGGATAACTACGTAATTTCACAATTAGAATTAATTACACACAGGTCCCTGAGGACTTCAGAATCATTTCGCGATTTCGAGGGACCTTTTTATATTAATTGTGCTCTGTGAGACCTGAGTGTAATTTTTCCAAAGTCAAACATAACAGAATCATTATTCGTCGCTGCATTTCTCCCACAAGATTATTTCTTTATTTAATATCATAAATATAAATATTATCAAATAGTACTGCTCGAAATTCTTGAATGATATTTTTGACTTCTTGAAGCTAGAAGTGGATCTGAGTTGAGTCCGCGGTCGCTACTTCACTAGTCTTTTGTTTCTGGAAGATGACGAAGTCCAACTTTGGACCCTAATTACACTTTGGGCCTAACACAACGCGGACCTGTGTCAGCGCCATAAGCATTCTTACCATTTAAGGAAATAATACAGTTGGGCCAAAGAAATTTATTGTACATACTTTTCCTTTTTATTAAAACTGAATGTCCAATTGTCCACTGAAACAACCTCGTACCACACAAGAAAGCAATCAACTTCCTTCATCACTCTCCAACTCAAAGAAATTGAGAGATGGAGGTTGATCGAGGAAAGCACCAGTTGGTATCTAACTTAACTTATGAGACATTTTTGCTAGTCTGTCTGCAAGACAGTTTTTCTCTTTATAAACATGATACATAGTGACTAGTCCCTCTGAACGCAATATAATGTCACTGATGATTATAAGACATACTTTACAATTTATGAATTTCATGGCTCATAATTGAAATTTTTCATATTTTATAATTTTCCTGTGCTTAGTATAGGACCTAATATATAGAACCTAATTAGAGAGTTATTGTAGGTCTTATATATAAGACTTAATTCACATGTTTATCGATTTTTTTCAAATTAATATTATTGATATTCCCTTAACGATAATCAAGTAGGAGAGAGAGGGAAGGAGGGAGTTAAAGAAAATAATTAGAGTGTGTTTTAAAAAAAATATTACTACCTCCGATCCTAAATATAAAAACCAGTTGACCAATTTGAATAGATTAAAAAAATAAATTAAATTAGTTATTTGTAATAAAGAGGTATTGTCTTTCATAAAACATCCTTACAAATCAAATGTATTGGTTAAAATTATTATTATTAAAAAGACTACCTTAAAAATCATAAATATAAAATATAAAATAGATCAGAGTCTTATATTCATTATCAAAATAAAAGTCAAACAAATTCTTATATTAAAAACTGAAGATAATATTAACTAATTTAACTAATATTTTTAATTTACTTAAAAACTAATTTCTCGCTAACCAGAGAATAACGTGGAATTCACTTGAAGCTTTAGACATTGTCATACTTCATGCGGGAATGCGTGCCTAAATTGTGGGCCTATCTAAGTTGTTGCTTCAAAATTTGGCGGTGGAAATGAAGAGACATTTGGAGTTGGCAGGGTAAATTGGTCATCTCATCTCAACACAATGCCATAGACTTTTTTGTTTTTTTTTTGCCAGCAACACAATGCCATTAGCCGTAGACTGCTACTTTAACAGAGAGATGACAAAATTAGATGACGTGTCAAAGAACAAACAGGTCGGCATTGCACTGTTCTCATGAATCAAGTAACCAAAAGGTCTTGGGGTGAGAGAGGCTCGAACTCTCGACCTCAGGATCACTCAGAAGCTATGAGACCTACGCGCTAGCCAACTGCGCCACCACCCCGAGGGTGATCTCATGTGACATCGGAATAATTAGATAAAATCGGCTGGGGATTGACTTATGCATTAACGTCAGGTCGTGAGGGCATAATTTTTTTTTTGAAATATGATTAACCCGTGACAAGGAGTCCGGTTACATCCATGCCTTCGTAATTAATATTATCCGTTCATTAGCTTCCTCTGCCAAACAAACAAAAGATGCGCAGCATTTTGATTCGCATTACGAAATCAAAAACAGTTCATTGAAGAACACTTTAAGAAACAAAATGAAAGAATCTAATAGATATAAATTAAATGATGGGAGGAAAAAAAAAAAAGCGAGCGCCTTGATATAATATGTATCAGGCTCTCTTGAAATAATACCAGGTTACAGTGTAAACCCCAATCTCTTTTGTTCTTATAAAAATAAATCCCTATCAACTTAATTCAATTTACACTTTATTTCCCCATCCAATAATATTCCACCACGTACCCATCTATCTCTGCTTCATCACCAACCCCGACAATCAGACCAACACAGATCGCGCATATACGCAGCTGGAAAAACTCAATAATGTCGTCAAATATAAGACTTTCATGTCTGTTTTCTTTGCCATTATATTGTCTGAACGATGTGGAGCTAGCAATGAATGGTAAATTTCGTACTTCAATGGATTTCCATCCTATTGTCCATATCTTGAGTCGTCAAATCCTCAAAACTCCAATTTCTTCTAACTCCACAGCTCCGGACTAACCTCGGCTCGAGGCTGCCAGGAAAGCCCACGTCGCTGGCGCTATGAATCCGGCGATGATCGGCCTTGATCTTGGCCAAAGGACCTTTAACCTTCTTTTGCTGATCATGACATTTCTGGGGGTTGTCGTCCTCCGGAATCATTGCCCCCGACCAGCTTCTCGCGATCAGGGCTCGCAGTTTGGTGGCGCGTTCATTGAGATTATGCTCCCTGTGGGAGTCTGTCCTTGGGATTAGGGTGCATGCCAGACAATTGAGACTCATGGTGATGGTGATGAAGAAGATGATATGGAGTTACGTGAATCCCAAGCAATCACCAAATCCAAATCCCAGCTCCTATATTAGAGCATGGAAGATGGCTATGATGAGAAGGTTGGTGGAAGAAGCTTGATAGGATGCTTAGGATTCAGGTTTCGGTTTGAATGACTTATATACATCATTAAATTTTAGATTTGCAATACACGAGGCAAGAAGAGATGTTTCTAAATTTAGTTTCGGGTAGGTAATTAAGAATAACAAATATCGCTGTCTTTTGGCATGAATTTCTGACCCATGATCAAATTTTAGCTATCGGTTTCTAAATTTGGGTGAATGGTCGTGTCCTTTACGGTTTGTCTCGTCTGGTTCCTAAATTATTGTCCATCATCCGAATTTGTGATCTGTGACTCTTGATTTCTTTTCTTTTTTCAAAAGATTGCCAACTAATTAAGTACGTTAAATATCTCTCGCTTTCAACAATCAATTGGGATTTTCTCGCTGTCAACTAGTGCTTTGCACAAATTAACTGATATTTAGATGCTATGTTGGCTTATAAAAGGTGCTCATGTGGTGATGATGAGTAGGCTTATGGCATCGAAGACAAATAATTGTCTCGCTCGGATAGAGTCTTCGAGCTGCCTCTATAATAGGAAGCAGTGCAAAGATGCAGCATCAATAAAGCAAGAATTTTTAATTACGTACCCATATAAAATACAATAGAAAGATTGGTTAGACATCTATAAATACATAAAACCTACTTTAAGAGACACACAGTTCACTTAAGTCATGAATAGAGCTAGCCGTAAATAGTTTCTACATAATAATACCTCTGGTCCTAATTATCAGAGCTAGTTGACTAATTTGAGGAGATTAAGAAAATAAGTTAAATTAGTTATTTGTAATGAATAAGTGTTGTCTTTCCTAAAATATGCTTACTAATCAAGTGTATTTGCTAAAACTATCATGATTAGAATGACTATCTTAAAAAAAATACATAAATATGAGAGACAAAGCAGATTGGGGTCTTATATTTAAGACCAAAATAAAAATCAAATAAGGTCTTATATTAAGGATCAGAGGTAGTAACTTTTGTCATGGCCTATACAGCTAAGGTCTATTTTGGGTCATTTGGTATCAAATCAATCGCAAAGCAAATATAATTGCCTCAAAAGTTAAGACCATCTAATGCATTTTCATTGCGAGAGAACTGTTACTTTCAGAAATCGATTTGTAAGATGCATGAGTGATAGATGAGAAGCTCATGTATGACGTTAGCTTATGATGAACTATTATTTGCGTGTGTATGCAATAACCACAAACTACTCCTCCTTTAGACATTAAAAAGTTATATGGGCATGAGAAGAGCCTTAAGGATAGCATTAAAACTCTTTCAAAGAGTCTATAGTGTAAGAAGTTTAGTCATACACATATGGAAGATGTCATTCATGTGATTCATATTGAGAGAGAAGTCTAAAATTTTCCTCACAAATGGATGCATATATATGGTTACGAACATTGAATTTTGTGAAGCTGTAGTGTGAAATCAAACCACACTAATGTGCTAAAAGTTAAGAATCTCATGTTGCAGGTGTATCCACCGTGTGTTCCAGGGTTAGTGCATGAACCTTATTTCTGTGGACCTACCGATTTGAACTTGTGAGAAGCTTTTTTTGAGCGCATGTCTTAAGTCAGCAACAATAACTGTGCCAAGTGAAAAACTTTTTTTTAATGATTAAAATGTTAGAAACTGGGAATCGTCATGAATAATTAATCAAACGCGCATATGTGTGGGCGGGCATGGCATTTGTATACATGTGGATTTTTTAATTTGGTGAGACCAAGAGAGCATCCAACATACATATACTTTTTGGTCCT